AAAAACAACAAAAAAAGAGGAAAAAGAAGAAAAGAAGAAAAAAACTATAACTTAATGATTACATTTTGAACTTAAAATCGACATGGGTTTTGAAAGTAAATCCAACATTTACATTTTGTTTTACTTACAGAACTTATGATGTATTGTAATAAAATTGGAGGTTGAAACATGGTCCATTGGACCTCAAAGGCCAAAAGATATCTTTATTCCTGGAATAGAATATATATATATTATACTAAGGTAGACTTACCTGAACAATGCAATCGACAATCAACCTTCGGATTGATTCACTCCGGCTATTTCGCATTAGCACAACAAACGGTTTTAAGATATCATTTTGGAATGTAAAATTGGCAAGTTCCGCACGCTCCAGGTATTTCATGCCAAGTTGTCTTAGAGAATCTATAGCGTACATTGCAATCTTTTCATCATGATGGCTCCCAGCAGAAATAAAATGAATAGCAAGGACAGACCATATTCTTGCCCATACCTGGAAATACAAATATTTTTTAATCATTCAAAAGTGAAAAATAGAGGTAACCTTGACATCCATAGAAAGAGCCTACAGATATTTCACAGGCTAAATGGAAAAGAAACCACAAAGACAGTATGGTAGCTAAGCTGGTTAAAAAACGGGATAAATTTTTTTAAGCTTAAAAGACTTCAATATAATACACAACATCGACATATATAATATACAAACACATACATATTATTAAATTACTTTAATAAACCAAAGCAAACCATACAAGCCCAGTATATCTCACCCGAAGGTGGGGTCTGTGGGTTAAGAATTAAGATGTATGCAGACGACCTCTACCCCATAGTGTAGAGCGGCTGTTTGAATGGATGAAGTGATTACCATGCGTATACGAGCCATATTGTAATAACTGATCTCCACAAGCTTTTGTAAGCTATAAACACGGGCTGGATTTTGCTTCAATTCTTCGGCTGAGACATTACATAGAGCAGTAAAAAATTCCACCACTGACTCACTAGGGAGTTTAACACTATTTACAAAAACTTGTTCAGATGGTTTCCCAGCCAATTCCCGGAGGGATTGAAGAACCGCATCCTTAGAGATCTGGTTAGATCCATGCATGACCGTAGCAGCCATAGCAGGAGTAGATATGGTATACTCTAGACGAGAGGTGCACTCCAAAACTGCATTCCAAGTGTCTTGAAGCGCATCAGGCTCCGAGTCACTTATATCCAGCAGAGTCCGTAATGCTTCAACATTCTTACTACGCATATCTTTCGGTGCATGTAGGAAAGTGAATCTGCAACAGGCATAAAAGATAATATTGTGGGAATGCATCAAGACTGTCATCTATATAATTATGTCTAATTAATTTAGGAAGTAAAAAAATTCATTTATCAAAAATTACATATGAATGAAAGGGATGAACTTACCTCCCTCCATCCCATGAAAATTGAAATGTTTGACTTGGCACATAGTCTTAAGGAAATTGCTTGATTATTTGTCAAATAACTAAAATACCCTTCAATAAAGCCATACTAGAGGAATCTTTTGGTCTCAAATCAATACCATTGATTTATTTGTAATAATTATAATGAGAAACTTACAAAAAATAAATCTTAGCAATGTCCATCAAATATTCTAGCAAAATATTGCAATTTTTATTGGAGTGAGAAGAATAGTGAAAGGAGGGACCAAGAACATGCTATAAAAATATTGGAATTACCTGATCAGTGATGTCAAAAATGCATAGCGCATGGTATCCATCCCAAGCACATGTGTAATGTGAATTCCTGCTTTGAAACCTTCCATACAGAGAAAAACTCTAGGTTTATTCTCCCTTTCCTCCATGCTTACTGCAAATGTAGCAAGCAGCGGCCAACCTACAGCTTCGACCATTGGTCTTATGAGCTCAATCTGATGTGATGTATAAAATGTACCCCTTTTCGCTCCTTGGTTCCTAAAAATTGCTTGCGTTTGTTTGATAATAGCTTCACTCTCAGATTGTGTGTCGGTTTGATTTTTCTGTTTCGGGAGAGCCAAATTAAGAATACCAATAATGCCAGCTTCTGGCTTTTTGCTGCTTTTCCCCATACCTGCAGTGTCATCCTTCATTTTTATCTCTTCTTGAACAATAGAATCATAGATTTCCTCCAAAAGTTCTGTTGGTGCACATTCTTCCGGATCATTTGTGGCATTCATTCTCACAAACTCGGCCTTGGTCATTTTAGGCCACACCATTGGATTATGAGCATCAGTGTTTAACATTATAACTGCATATGCAAGAACATAAGCGGTGTCTGCATTCTTGAAAAGACCTGGATTATCTGCACAGTAACTGCAAAGACAGCAAACCATACAAGAAACACTTATAGCTAGATATACGAAAGGGGGCCTGCTTGATGATAGTTCTGATAGAAGTTCAAAGAAAATGATCTTATGGAAAATATTTTACAGTCAAATTTAACCATATAACTGACTACTGGTAACATCTTTTTCATGGGTGTCAAGGAGTACGAGGAATGATAACTTGTACAAAAGAAAATGTAAAAAAAGACGCTTACCGCTCTGCAAATTTTTCCATTATACGGTCTATCTTCTGTGCTTCACCAGGAAGCCGAAAACCTCTAAGAAATTCACGGATTGCAGTATGAAATTTCATTCCAGAGAAATGCATAGAATCAACATAAGCATGCATTACAGCAAGAGGAAACTCTTCATGTTGACCCAAGTAATCACCGATCATAGCCTGAAAGTTCGGACACAAAATGGTGATGAAAAGCTAATTCTGCATGGACCTTAAATTGTTCTATATGAAAAACTGTACCTTGTCCAAGCTGGGTGTATTCCTGAGAAAATGAGCAACTGAAACTGGTGTATTCTCCACCAAACTATTTGTTTTCAAAAATTCAATTCCCTTTACAGGATGACGGTTGAACTGCAGTTCATTGATAATTGAAATCACTTCCTCATAAAGCTCAATTACACTACAAAACACCAATCTATATGCAGTTTGAACTTTGAGAAGTCCACCATGTTACAGTCATGCAGACTAGCGATAATTAATTACACACTTGTTTCTTGCAAACTCATCGTTTTAGATGATAACAGTGGAAATATGTAGCTAAAATATATTACTCCCTTGTTCCCAAAGAAGTACACATTTTGTTTATGCAGTCAAAATTCATATGTTGGAAATAGAAAAGGTTAAGACGGGTATGATAATGAATTTAATACAAACATTTCCAAACTGGTAATATCATTAGAAAGCTTACTGTAGTATCCAATTTCACTTCCATTGAAATTCTGGGGTATTTGAATCAGTTTTTAAGTAGAAAAGAAGTTCCTTGAGCTCAGAAGTGAAACCGTTTATCTCTTTCTTGGCATAGAGGGAGTATCAAGTACCTCAGATATTGCAGCTTCCATGGTAGATTTATGAGCTTTAACTTTCTCAAAGTTATTTGCCAAGTCACTCCTGCCTTGAGACTCTGCAGCTGAAGACTCTTCCTCAATAGATTTTTGGTCTTTACTCTGCTTTGACTCTCTCCGCACCTTCTCCCAATCAACTAGTGATTTCAACACACTCACGAGGCACTAAAAGATATAGGACAAAACGTAACACATCTATACATGAAACATCATTTGATCCCGTAGAAAGAGAAAGCAAAAAATTAAATTTTCACAAGGATATACAAACCTGAAGTGATGAGCCTTTGATTGATCCAATTTGAGTAGCATTAACTGAGTTTGGATCCACACTTTGAGTCCCTTGGGCGATTCTCGATAGAGTTGTCACCTAAATGTGAAGACAAGATAACAAGAATCATATACATATTCAAACACTAAGAAAACATGCTAAACTCATGGGTGTTGCTGATAAATTACCATTCTTTCAAACGAATTTGGAGCATCAAGATCACAATCATAGTTCACGTAGAGATCAACGAGCATCTGTGGATCCTTGCAAACTTTCTCCAGCATCCTGTGAGATTTTTTCGTGAGTATAGAAGTATAATGAAATACAACTAGATGTATCTACAATCTATGTGTAGGCATGAACCTACAAGCCTTATAAGTCCCATTTCATTTAGTAAATTGTTAGAGGTTGATAATGTCTGTTCAAGGTAAATCAAATTGTCTTTGCAGAGAAGGGTCATAATTTTCAGAAAATCTGAGAGAGGTATGATACCATGAAAACAAGCCTTGAAACCAAATATGAAGCATAGGTTGAGAAAAAAAATCATACCGAAGAACACTTAATTTGAGGTTGAGTGGGTATTCTGAGCCATCCAAAGATCTCAAAACGATCAGCGGAAAGAAGATGCCAATTTCAACCTGAAAATGAAATTTAAGCATATTTGATTGCATTACCGTGACATGAATATAGCACGTTCATAGAAAAAGAATATGAAGGTTTGCCATCGAAACTTTGTGGGTACCTTAAGGCTTTCTCTAAAACGCAACAGTAGCACGGCAAAAATCCCTGTTGCATACTGCCAAGATGGGTAAAAAAAGTATATTGTAAATAGAGACATGTATTATAAAAAATAAGCAAGAGAATTTCCTGATGAATCAAAGAAGAAACAAAAATACTTTAATGAAAGCATCCAACTTACCTGAAAGATCGCTGGAGATTGTGACACTGATGCGCGTAATAACACATATGATAGGTAAGCTTTCACGGAGTCGATGATATTGAGGCTCTTAGTAAAGGAGTGACTAACCCCCTCCAACAACCCCTGCAAAATCCATCTCTTAGACTATGTTTAAGACATCCGTCCACATTAACTTATAAAGAGAAAAAAAGGGCAAATAAATTATGAGTCTGACATCAATCTTTTAAATGATTGCAATATCAGAACAAATAGGATCAAGGATCCAATTAAAAGAATCTAGCAGTAAAAGCATATGTTATCATTGCTGGAATTAACCTGTAGGAGTTCGAGAGACAGAATACGTGTTTTTGTAGTAACTTCATCATTATCTTCCTTCATACCCATCTGCAATAACCTAAATTAAACCAAAATATCCCAGAAACTTTGTAGCCAAAAGTCTACAAGAAGCACATACGAGAAAATGTGAACCTTGCAGAGGGTGCGAAAAAGGAGCAAAGCATCACGTTGTTCAATGCTCATGCTCTCTTGGTCAATCCCACTTAAGAATAAAATAGAAGTCAAAGTATCAGCATTGACATAACTCATACAAGTGAAATAATAATTTCTATGCATATATATACCGTGTGGTCCTTCCACCGTCTTCAAGTTGCACAGCCTTGTCAAGAACTGCCTCCAGGCCCTGTAAAACAAAAGGCATAACATCTTATCTTGACTGATATCACACGGCAAATGACCCAAAAATATCGGAATCAGAGGAAGCATAAAAAGCATGAACTTGATTTAACAACACATGGTTTAAAAGAATGAGCATCTGAGCACCTTTATGTCAGTCCCACCAGCAAGATTATGCAGCTCCTGCAAAGATGCAAGAGGAGTGTCGTTCACCTCACCAGGAGTTATCTTTTGACCATTCTCCTCACCTAAAGAACTTTCTTCAACCTTCGGGGATGAACCACTTCTTTTATGTGAAGACATCTGAATTGCAAGGGAGACAAAAATTAAAATTTAGAGTAGAGTACTAGAGTATGCTGCTTTCTTCTTGTGGTAGAACAACAAAAACAACAATGAACATAGAGTTCTGATTACAAACCAGATATGTTTCCATTCGCCTGAATACTATGCTGATCATTTGAGTTAGCATAGCCTTGGATGTAGCTTGGTTGATAGGACTTTTACTAAGTATTCACAAGAGATATCAGTTAATTCACTTTGCCAAAAGTGAAACGAACTCTGAATAAATACTAAAAGTTACCTATTAAGAGCAATGTTGTAACACACTCTTATTACCCCCAGTAATGCTTCCCCATGAACTGCATATAAGAAAGTGAATACAAATAAGAGAACCCAACTATCTATTGAGTATTACCAAGTGTCTTAGTTGCACGAAGATGTTTTCCTATTGTGAGTACTAACTATTCTTTTGTAAACACTAGATATTTAACGTGAAGAAAATTGTTCAGGTTTTCTTTTCCATGGGTGAAATAATGTTAGTAATGCAATAAGTCAGCCAAGTTGTGAATTGATGTGGGAAAAGGAGCTCCCAAGTCCCCAGTAAATATTTTATCAAATGATTTCTAGATATTATCCTTTGGGCGGTAGGAGATAATAATAGGAAAAAGCAGATAATGTTTAATACACACACATATACCCCTATACCATGTAATCTGTCCATCCTTTGTAACAATTCCTTATGCTAGCCACATTCCTCTTGCATGGTGCCAGTATTTCACAACATAATGAGAAAAAGAAAAAATATCCCTTCGAATGTTTAGATTACCTCGAAACTTGGTGGATGCGACAGCAGTAAGTAGCACTTTCAGCACTTGAAGAGTTGTACTGCATGAATGTCCTCAGAACTTATCATTAAAATGACATTCTTGGAGAAAAATCATGCGTCAAAAGAAAGGAATAAAGATAAATTTTGACGAACAAATTACCTATCCGGTGATGAATTATCCACACAACTGCATACCATATTCAGAATCTCTGTAAATAGAGGAACATTTTTACCATTTTCTAGACCAGGATCACCCTCCAGATGATCATACGCAATGAGTTTCTGCACTTAGAAATTCTTTACGTGAATAACTTTACAAACATATTTCTTTTTAAAGCACATTAAACAGAACCTTCACAAATCTTTGTGCAAAACATAAATGGGCTGGAAAATGTGAAACACTTGAACTGTTGTAGCGTAAAACAAAGGATGCTAACATATCTACTGCATTCTGAATTTTTGTTAGTCTGGCTAGGGGTTGGCTTCTGTTCCTTCCCCTTTCGTTGGGGTTGTTTTATATGCTTCTCCCACTCCTAGGTGTTAGTATAAGAGTTTTTGTTGCAGGGATTCCACCTTTATAATCAATGATATGGTGAAGCCTGCCTTTGAAAAAGCTAGAACCGAACAAAATTTACATACATGAAGGCAATCCAATGCAAGCTCAAGGACTTTGGGATTCTTGGTCTCAAATGCAAGCCGAAGTGGATTAAGGACAAGCTCTGACTCAGCTCCTTCCAAAGTATGCCCAGCACTAGCCAAGGTCGTCTTGACATTTCCACCTGATGCTGCCTGAGCACCAGCAATTTCTGCCTCCTCGGTATCATGTGAAGCTGAAGGTGTTGCATCTGCCTCCACTTCAGTTCTTGCAGTTCCATCATCGGGATCAGGCACACTGCAACAACATATGATTTGTAGAATGAACCAATGGTAATTAAATAACTGTTAAGATATGTGCCCTCTCAGATAATAGGACCTAATCTAAAGCGAAGATTATTGATTTGCAGCATCAAAGTTTATCTAAAGTCACAGTATTTATTAAAATCCCACCATTCTGAGAAAATACAAATACTCTTTGCAATAGTCTTAGGCTAAAAATGTATACTACTACACAGAAACCAAACCAAATGAACCCAGCAAATCTCACAGAGTAGGGTCTGGGAAGGGTGGTATGTAGGCAGACCTTTCCTCTACCCCCCAAGGAGTAGAGAGAATGCTTACATGAAGGCCCGCGGCTAGATATACTACTACATATCTTAATTGGAAAATTTGTATAAATGGCCTCTAGCATACCCTTTCTAGTTTGTACTAAACTGGCAATAGCGTAAAAACCTGCTCAATTTTCCAAAAAACAATTTGAGGAGCCATTCCAACCTATTAAACATGTACGTATTCATGCATTCTAAGTGTTTTAAGTAATTGACAAAGGCTTTTTGCTTTCTATATATTTAGCCACAAGCCAACTTGTCTCCAAAAGTTATAAAACCATCAAATGCTCTAATGTAAAAGTAAAAACGCGATTATACTTCTACAGTAGTTGTGGGATTCATTACCAAAAAACCTTTCCCCTTCTCCATCTAATCTGTCATTCTCTCTCTCCCTCCATGTTTCTATCCGACTATTTCTGTCTATCAATGAATTAGAGAGCAAATGTATAGTGGTACAATAAAATTTAGAAGTCATATTAGTGTATATGTTATATCATTACACCTAATCTGTGGAACGTGGGGAAATTTTTTCTAAATCGGCTAATCTATGGAATTGTGGAAGAAATCACAAATCACTTGTCCAATTTCCTCATGATCTAATTATATTATGTCATCTCAAAATAGTTATATTTCATATATTAAAATGACTATTGCATGTCTGCTTAATCCCCTCTTAGAAGGTTAAAAACTAGAAGGTCAACTGACCACTTAGCTTCGCATAACGTTTTGTAGAGCATCGTCAACAACCTAGCTCCACTTGATGCTATCTAGAACATTACTCTAGAGTTTATAAAGAGTAAAGCTTAAACAAATATATCTTGCGGTCAAGCTAATAAATCCTTTAAGGTTTTCTAATATGCTTTGTTTGTCCTGGACTAAATAAGCCAAGTGACTTCAATATGTCCTGAAATAGAGGAGCTAAATGAGTTCTCAACCTTTCAAAAAACACTTACATTCTTGGTTTTGGGTTGTTTCTTAATAAATGAGACTCTTATCAAAAGACTAATATTTCAATCATATTTAACAATTTCATATTTGTTGATTATTGTTCAACTTTCTTGAATCGTGTATCTTATTGTCCTGGATCACTTTTTGCCATTTAATTGAACTTGGCTTATCACACTCTATCCAATAGAGCTCAAAGTTTTAAAAGTTCTATTCAAACACAATGTTTGAAGTTTCTAGATATGACATATGTTGTGAACCCTCAGAAAGAGAACATGCAAACATTAGATCCACAACATTGAAAGTTTGAAACCTCACAACAACGCTAGATGTCCTGCAGTTTTATGTTTGTATAAGAGCTCCATTTTTTGGGAAGGAAGGAGTAGATCATAAACCCCAACTCATGATAAACATAAATATTCTTTTTCAAATTTTTAATATGTCACTTGATCTTGGTACCATCAGGTTTTGTGGAGAGGTGCATCTTTTTTGCTTCTTAATTTTTAACCATATGTTGGTTTTTTCTACATTTCACTTCCTCTTTGCTGATAAATCGCTGGTAAGCTTCTCTGTTACTCTTTTCAGCGGCATATTCCAATTTAATCTAAAATTTGGAGTCTTCAATATCATAATTCATGACACAAGCATGTATATATACACGGACATACAATGAAGTAAAACTGGGTTAGCAAGCAAGAAAGAGAAGCAAAGAGAGAGGGAGAGATAGAGAGAGAGAGAGAGAGAAAGGATCAGAAGCAAGCAATTGCAGCAAAATATGGGCAACCAAAAAGATGCAAATAATAATGGGTCTATGCATCCACTTATGACTGTATAGGGTAAGCACCTTTTATCTCCTCCATCTGAAGCTGTCACTTTGTTGGCATCACTTGATGTCACCTCTTTACTGATCTCTTTTGAATTTTCTGAAAATGCAAGGGGAACCGGAAATTAATATATGACGAAATCAACAAAAATATAAAGAAACCCAAGCATGAAAGAGCATCAATATCAACTAGTTTACAAAGATTATGGAAATAACAATTATGGACAGCCTCTAAATCTAAACGCCAACAAGGCACGGACTCCTGTGCTTTTCATGCTGGCTTGTTGCATATTGCATGAAAAGTTCGAGGTGCGCTGTATTGGGTACAGCAGTGATGTTACTAACTTAATCTATCTTAAATATTAAGATTTACTTCTTAGAATGACTACAACACCCATGGAAGTGTGATGACTTTACTGCATGTCAGAAAGGAGCACATAAACTTGATGATTAAAATCTCCCTTTGCATCACCGAACATTGCACATCATTCCATTGACTTTTGAGTGTTCCAGTCTCTTGTATGTCTAAGTTTCTTTTTCAACCGTCTAGAAACTGGTTTCAAGTTAGAACTTTAAATAATGTAATTTAATGTAAACGACTATATCTCTCTCTGGAGAGACATTTAGATCATGTAAAATGGTTTTGCAGAAAAAATGAAAGATTGTAGATTAGAGTCAAGAGGTTTATTCAGATCAAAATCCCAACTACAATATGAAAGGCGAATCACGGTGATTATGTAAAAACGGTTTCGAGACGATCTTTCAAATCTAATAACAGCTGGACTTTGGGCACTTTAGATGATTATTACTAGACTACTCAACCTATCATTTCAATATAAACCAGCAGCACGAGGAATTGTGTATTGCTCCTATCCAAATGCCCAAAACAGAAATAGTATAGAGCCTGATATGAACTATAGAAAGCGGTTACAACAGATAAGTTGCTAGGATGATAATTTTCTTGTCTTATCCATTTTCTGTCTGGGTTTCTTTGTGTAATAGGAGCCAAGCCTTTCTTTTTTGAATGTATTATTGAAATTCACAAGATATAATAAGAATCCCAGCAGCAATCATGTATGTAAGAAAACTTTTGACCCAAACAAATACTGCATTTGGTTTTTTCAGTTCTTGAAACTATTATTGTGAGCATGTGATATTGATCCCAACAAAGTCCGTCAACCATCACAATAATACAGTGGAAAAAGAATAAGTTCCAACTTATCATTATTTTTCTTACAACCTGAACATACACTTGTCTGAAACACTTGAAACAATAGTACAGACCTTACATTTTACCAATACATATCAATACAGCTGTATTGAACATGTGCTACTCATATCAAGGTCCTTTGACTTATTTAGTTATCCTATCGATCTACTTAAACTGCTGACTCCTATCAAAGTGCTTCTTTCTCCCACTATCGAAAGTGCAAGCCATTACAAACCAATACTTTAATTGTCGGAGACGGCATACTCAAGAACCAAATTATTGAAGTTTCTAACCAACTACATACGAGTAAAAGTAAAAATTCAAAGCAAGTTCTGATGGCATATAGAGAACAAAATGAGTTAGACTTTGATTTTTATGTCAAACAAGTTACCTTCCAACCCCCAAACTAATGTGGATTAAAAACCTTATCTGTAACAATATGAAAACTATTCATCCTTGTAACAAAATCACCAAATAGAACAATATTGATGTCAAGTTAGTACACAAAAAGTAAAACAATGTTGATGCCAAATGAACAATATGTCTACTGTGCCAGGAAATTATGTTTTTGCCACACCTTCACTCTCTCATTTAAGATTGATCTAATTTTCTACTTGTACAAATATAGGAAATCCAGTCTGCTAGTACTCTATGCATTAAAAGTGATACTTTGTTGCCTACCCAGCGAGTTCAATCCCCAACAATACACCCCTTGCATCAGAGAAATACTAGGTCCGTATCAAAATTCAAGCGTGGATCCCTTTATTCTCGAAATCGATGCAGACATTGGTAATTGATAGAGGCATGTAATTGACTCGACCACCAACAAACTGTCGAAGTTCTTATGAATTATAGAAATAGAAAGACGCATTAAAATCAAATTTAAGATCTGGGTATTCGAAAGAAATCAGAGAGATCAAACAACAAACCTAAATAAGAATGGATTGCGGTCTGAAGAGAAGTATACTTCTTTCCAGAAGACTCTTTGAGCATTGATTCAAATGCTCGAGTAATAAAACCTCCAGCAGCACCTCCGGCCATCTTCGATTTACAATCTTTCTGATGAAATACTTCCAATTGACGGTCGATCTTTTTGCTCTGATCGCCAGAGATCTTGGTTTGAGTTGGAATAAAAGAGCAATGAGTTGAGTTCACTTGTGAGATGAGATCAAGCTCTGGCGCTCTGAGATCTCTAGTTGTCTATGGTGGATCACGTATTCAAGTTTTATTGAAGACGAAGGAACCACCAATTAACAAAAAGAATAAAGAAATAGAAAACCCCCAAAGTTGTGGGTTTAAGACTTTTATTCGAGATAAGAGATTCATTCTTTCCGATTTGAGTTCATAAGTTTTAAGATATTTGATTAATAACAGGTCTACGAATCCGTTTACCAAATATTTATCTGTGTAACTGATTACCAAGTAACATTACCTTACTGTATGAATATAGCAAAGACCAAGAATTTTACATAATAAGAACGAGACAAGGACCAAGAGTCCTACCTAGTAAGTGAGGACGACGACTCGGTAACCGCATACCGTGGTAAGAATCTTACCCGGTAAGAGCAAGACAAGAACCAAGAGTCCTACCCGGTAAGTGAGAACGACGACTCTTACTACGGTAAGTGCTTACCAGGTAAACTGTTGCATACGATGTTGTTTTGATGGATTAAAATATTATCAAATGTTTGTATTTGATTGATGGATTTTGGTGTCAAACGGAACACAATAAAAACATATCGTTACAAAACTAAAAAATTATCAATCGATCCTTATTTGATATAATTTTAATACTGTATTTGTTTTAATGGTCGCCATGGATCATCCTAACACCACCATCTGATGAATAGTTTGTGTTTCTCTTAGAAGTCGTTTACCAAACACTTATCTTATCAGATGAGTATGGTAAGAACAAAAATAATTGCTTGATAAGTGAGAATGGTAAGTCTTAATCGATCAGTGTTTATGGGTAAAAGACACTTACCAACAATGTTACTATGTCATTTAAAATCTTAGTCTGTAAGTGAGTGAAGATGGTGACTTTTTACCTGATAAACACTTACTCGCTTAACATATGGTAATTGGTAAAAGGCCACTAAGACATACTACATTTGTAATAAGGACTACCATGGTCCGTTTTTTTGTGGATTGTGTCGTTGCCTTGTTCACGACCATAATCAAGGATCCTCTTATCCTACGTACGACCATGATAAGGATTTTCGTGCTCTTTACGACGGGTGTTTTGTGAGAATGATTTTGATTTTTTAGAGTTGGGTATTTCGACCGAGCATTGCGGACGAGGCTCTAACATCAACAATCCAAACCGAATCGTGGCAGTCGACCCTATCGGCTCTTTTTAGTTGAACCAAATAAAGATCAGGTTTTATTACCAGATAAAACATGTATCAAGTAAAAAATGTACACAGTCATACCATAATTTAGATAGGACTGGATTTTTTTTTTCCCTAAATTGTCATCTCTTTCTCCTAGTTCAACTTTCAAAAATATTTTTCGAACACATTTTTCAAGTATTATGTTTTACAAAAATATAATTACATTCATGGAGAACTGCTTTCGGTCCCCTAAACTGACATCTCTTCATCTGCCAATAACTCTTGATGTAAAAATACAATGCATTTAACCATAAGGGGTGGTGCCTGATTGGTTTGAGCTTGGCTCCAAATGTCAAAGTACCAGAAGGTCTCAGGTTCAAATCCAAAGAGAAATAAAAATCCCCTTGTGGCCATGGAGGTTCAAATGCGATGACTCCGGGCTATCTGCAAAGCAAGTGATCGCCCTGAGATTAGTCGACTTGCATAGCAGGTTGGATATCCAGGTTAATCAAAAAAAAAATACAATGCATATTTTTTATTTTCTTTTGAAAGCATTTTATAATGATAGATGATAGCAAGTATATATGCCCGTAGATGTGGGCATTGTGTCATTACAGTGACAGTGCAAGTACATATTGCTCAATATGTTCATCTTCAAATAATATAATGATATAGTACCAATTTCGTACCTACATGGACTGATCAACTGAGAATTTGAGATTTCCACGAACTTCCAGTGCAAGTTTTGGTTTTTATAAAATTAACTGTTTTGAGAGTGATCTGGTGATTTATAATATTAGCTAACAATAAGTAATAAAAAGCGGTATAAGTGCAAACTTTTCCAGGGTGCGTTTGGTGCACAAACAGGACAGGACAGGACAGGACAGCTGTTCAGCGTTTGGTAAGGCATGACAGAACAGAACAGAACTGGTGGAAATGACCAATTTACCCCCAGTGCAAATCGAACAGCAAATCATACATTGCAACTCGAACAGCAAATCATACATTGCAAATCGAACATAGCAAATCGAATCAAACAGCAAATCGAACATAGGGCAAATCGATTCGTACATATCGATTCATACATATCATACCCTAAATCGATTCATACAGATCATACTCTAAATCGAATCAAACAGCCGATTTAGCTCAATCGATATCAAACCCTAAATCGAATCAAGACCGTGTCTGCGTATGAAGGAGATGAAGGTACCTGTTGTATGAAGGAGCGACGGGGAAGACCGGTAGATGAAGGTACCTGTCGTCGTCGAGATGAAGGAGATGTCGTCGATGGGGGATGTCGCCGTCGATGGGGAGGAGAAGCGTGGTCGTCGTTGTCGATGGGGAGGAAGCGAGCGCCGTCGATGGGGAGGGATGTCGCCGTCGATGGGGGATGTCGCCGTCGCCGATTGATGAAGGGTGCGATGGAGTCGCCGTCTTTGGCAGGTGCAGGGGCGCCGAGAGGAGATGGTGCTATGTGGGGAAGAAAGGGGGAAGGGGTAGTCTCGTAAATTTTTTTGTGTTCCACTTAGTTCCAGGGGTAAAGAGAGAACAAGCCCGTCCCATCCTTGTACTAGTTAGTTTTATTTAGTTCCATATTAAGTCACACCAAACGTAGGACAAATGTGTTCTGTTCTGTTCTGTCTCACCTTGTCCAGCGCACCAAACACACCCTAAAGGTACAACAGCAACAAGATGGTTGAAAGAACTAGCCACAAAATAACTCATCATGACATCTTTTTTTCGAAAGTAAATCGTAATGGGTTGTGGCCAAAGTCCAGTCACAAAGTGCCTACAACTGCTAACTTACAGTTTGTCAACTTTACAAATTAGATCTCGAAAATTTTAGTTCCACTAGTATCGAGAGAGATGCACATATTTTTATGACACACAACTCGACCGATATGTTGAATCTTAGTGAAAGTTATGGAAAAATCCATATTTCTATGTAATTGCTGAAGATTTTATGAAACCTCCTTGGTCACTCGAGATGTATTTCGAAATCGTCCATCTTTAGGTCAAAGACCTAAGATTTTTCGTATTGAGTTAAAACTCTAACTTGAATGACCAAACCGAAAAGTTAACATAAAGTGGTAACACCCAGATGTTACATGTTACCTCTTGGGTATGGCTTAAGCATACACCAAAAGGAGGGTCTAGTTCATGCTTAAAAGAAAAAGACATAATAAAAGAGAAAAGGTACCCAAAGATAAATTGCATTAAAGACGAAAAGCAAGGTCGCCACAATGACAAGTGCTGGAAATTTAAATTATTGGAAATAAAATTACTGTAAGCTTCTAACCAAATGAAATACGATGTAAAATGCTTCCTTCTGATGCTATGTGGGCCAAGGGTATGTTTCAAGATTGTTTTAAAGGACTTAAGTTTACAGGACCAAACAATTGTGGGTCCCATGAAAGTGTTATGATAAGTTTATATGACGCCTTTAGACGTGTTAACAAAATTTTTAGCCACCACTGTATCTAAGGGGCCATTGTATCTAAGTGTTTACCAGTAAAATTCAACACTATCACTTATTTACCGGGTAAGATTTTAGTCCACTAGAACATAATCGTATCCCACAATTTACTTGGTGAGCGCTAACCATGGTAAGAGTCGTTGCCCTCACTTATCGGGTAAGATTTTAGTCCACTAAAACATAATCGTATCCAACAATTTACCCGGTGAGCGCTAACCATGGTAAGAGTCGTTGCCCTCACTTATCAGGTAAGATTTTAGTCCACTAGAACATAATCGTATCCAACAATTTACCCGGTGAACGCTAACCATGGTAAGAGTCGTTGCCCTCACTTACCGAGTAAGACTCTCGATCCCTACCTTTGTTTTTACCGAGTAAGATTCTTCCCTCGAAATTAACCAAAAATTTCTCTTGAATAAACCAAAAAAATATCTTGAAATCAACACAAAAAAAAAACTTAAAAAATCCCTCATAGATGAAATCTGGCTAAAAACACATCGAACGATTTTACCAGTAAAATTTAACACTATTATGTACTTATCGAGTAAGATTTTAGTCCACCAAAACAACATAGTATACAATAATTTACCCGGTAAGCGCTTACCATGGTAAGAGTCGTTGACCTCACATACCAATTAAGTAAGACTCTTGATCCTTGTTTCGCTCTTACCAGGTAAGATTCTTGGTCCTTATTATATTCATCCGATGATGTAATGTTACTTGGTAAGCGCTTACCTGGATAAGCATTTGGTAAACCGGCCTCGAGACAAATACCGATGAACAAAACATGTCAGTGTCTCATCTTCTTACAACAAGCAACTTCAAGATGCAGAATCCTTTCAACGTTAAACCAGAACCCATCTACGATTGTTGGGATCTTCATTTTCCATGTCGTATATACACGGAAAATGACACTAACATGATTCGGGCTTGGGTGTAGGGTGAAATATAAGCCTTGCAAACCAACTCTACCAAATAAAACTTGTTTTCATTGTGGTAAATTACATACGGTGGCACACAACAAATTAATACGGTTGCACCGTTCACGAAACCTAATTTTTTACCCTTCGACGGAGAAATAATACGATGGCATGTGCCACCTTATACCACATACATAGGTCCATCCATGCTTTTGGGACGATCTGGATGAATTACAGAAGGCTAGAAACCTCCTTGAAGTTGTTCCTTCACTTAGCTAAATTTGCATAAGTGTTGTTCATAGCCATTGGACTCAGAGCCTCTGATCCTTCTAATCAGGTGTTCTAATGGGCTGTTTGACAATTACTGAATGATTTGGTGCAGAATTATTTAAGTGGTCAGAATGATTAAGAGGCTCTCATGATATAGTGCAAAATGAAAATATAATTGTTTGATAATTGTGTACAATGAAATTAGGGCTTTTAATGGTTAAGGGAGATCCATGATACAAAATCATTCAGAAGGTTTTAGAACCATTAAAAGACAGATTTTTTTTTCTTTTTTGTCAAACAAGATTCATCTCTTAACGATTCAGAGGTTGTCTCTTAATAAAACTATTAAGAGGTAAACAAACAACCCCAGAGTCTTCATTCAGCTCAAGTCTAGTCCAGAGCCTCTTAACCTTCCATCTTCCATCCAGAGATTCTGAACATTGAATTGTTTACTAAGGTTGGTGATTCTGAGAGCCTCTAATTAGGGTTTCAACTCTTGGTACGGTGCTTCTGACTGAGAGGCTATGAGTCGGTTGTAAATGTTGCTAAATATTATCCGTTAGCATTTGTAGTTACATATGAACCACTGAACGTCAATATCTGGTATAAATACATAGACGTTGATCTCGTGAATATAGATACACGAGTTTGTGCCTTACTTTATGTATGAAATTTCTAGATTATCTCAACACTAAATTTGTGTTAACAGAAGGCAATCTAAGGAAGAAACATAGTATTTGAAACGTGAATCCAGGAACTTATACAAATCTTCACGACCATAAAAACCAGATTCAACCATAAGGGTGGTGCCTGATTGGTTTGAGCTCGACTCCAAATATCAAAAGTAACAGGTCACAGGTTCAAATCCAATGAGAAATAAAAATCCCGTTGTGGCCACGTAAGTTCAAATGCAGTGACTCCGGGCTATCTGCAAAGCAGGTGGTCCTGAGATTAGTCGGTTCGCATAACGGGTTGGATATCCGGGTTTATCAAAAAACAAAAAACCAAATTCCCCAACAAACAGAACTTACATATTTGCTTTTTATTGGCAATTTCAATCGTTATCAGTTCAATTGATATCTGTTATTGGTATTAAATCAAAGCGATCACTCGTTAAAATGTCACCTTTTCAATAAAAAAACTACATTTTTTCATAAATCAAACAATTTCGTCATTATTATTGAATTATTATTAAATATCAAATAATTGATGGTTACTTAAGATCTCATGTATCACTAAACAAAGGATTATGATATATCACTGTAAATTTAATTAGTTTATTCAGAGCTAAATCTCTAAAATCTATTTTAGACAGGGAGAAATATTTTATTTTGATAATTATTATATTTTATATAATGAATAATAATATAAGAGGCTTCAACAGATTCTTTAAAATGAAGATTTTTTACATTTTTACTTTAACAGATTCTTCAAAACCTTCTTCAGAACTGAAAAAGTAAGAGAGAAGGTGAAATTCTTAAAATTTAGAGAACTCTCAAAAAATGATTACCTACAAAAGAGAAATTATTATTTTTTTAATTATTTTTACCGAGGAAAATTCTTAAAATTAAATGTATTAAGACAAGGTTTTTATTTTATTTTCGGTTCTAAAGAATGTTATTATTAGGGTTTAGGGTTTAGGGTTTAGGTATTATTTTTATTTTTTATTTTTATACTTTTAAATATGGTTTTCGTCCTTACGATTTATGATGTATCGTTGTTTTTTGCCATTGTGATTTACAATCATTGTTTCCGTTCTTATACTTAATTTCAAACCATGCAAGTACAAAAACCGTAAATCCGTAATTTTGAGAGAACGGAGATTGAAATCGCAGTTTTTATTTATAAACCATATGGACGGAAAATATATTTAAAATCTTTAAAATAAAAAAACTGTAAAATTATATATATATGTATATATATACACATACTAGAAGGATACTCGCGCAATGCAGCTTTATTCTGTCTTTGTCAATGTTATAATACGATTTTATGTGGTGTTGGAAAAACGATAATGTTTTTATTTATTGAATAAAATATAAATTTGAAGGTATCATAAAATTTTGAAAAAAAATGTATCAATTTTAGTATCAAATCATATGTATACCCATTTTTAAATTTGTTGAAATCGATAGATATCAGGATATGGATGAAGGTTAGCGACTCATAACGATATGAATGAATGTTAGCTCTTGATGGAAGATTGAGGTTATCTAAACCCCGCTTAAGTGTTTCAATAAGTTGTACTTGTACACAAGCATTGAGAAATTGTAAATTTGAAAATTAAGTAATTCACATTATATAGCAATACATAATGCTTAAATAATTGTTTTTAAGAGTTTTTGTCAAATACTTTATAATATAGTATAGATATATATATATATATATATTAAATTTTAAATTTTTATATTTTACAATATTTATAAAAATCTTGTTATATGTTTTTATAGCAACTATAGGGTTTGTAGTGGTATCTTTGAATGTGGGTATCAACATTGCACATGGCCAACTATAAATGTACATGAAACCACGTGTACTGTTCCCCAAAAGAATCAATAACAACTTCTACAAAACTACCCTTTTTTGTCACCTTTTTTTTTTCTTTTTTATTTCTTTTTATCAAAAATGGGTATTTTTTTTTGTATTTTATTTAATAAATCATTATAACTCTCATATAATATTGTTTATATTTTATGATGGTTGATTTTTAAGGATGATATTGCAATCGCGTGTGAAACCAAACCCGTTTTTCTTACAAAATGAATCTATGATGTTCTAACAAAAACAACTCAGCAATAGTTTAACCCTACCATTAATGAATTAGACGTCAAAAATTTCATATGTTTGTACATATAAACACAGACATGCGTTTGAACTAATAGTGTGTGTGTGTGCGCGCGCACGCGTGTGTGTTTGTTATATATATAACGATTTAAAATTTCATAAAACTATAGAGATCCACAATATATGATAGATAGTCCCGAATCATATAACATATGCATGGTGTACAGTCTAAGTATTTGTCATCTTGAACGTATCTGTACTGAACTAATAATATGTATCTCTCTCGAAAATTCTATAGACTTATAACATGATCTGAGGTTTTTGTGCATGACGTATACTACAATACAATATCTTATGATGAATAAGGTAAAGAGGGAAAAAAAAGCATCCAATTTGTATATACCACCAATCAAGTAAAGTCAAATACACTCCCAAAAAAAAAAACTGCCATAAAAAAGGTTTAACTTGCTAAACCCATATCAAATAATCTACAAATCTACCTAAAAACACATATAATTCAAGCTCAAGATTCAGTTTCAAAAAAAGAAAAGAGATTGAGTATTACACTGCTGCCACTTCTTGTTGTTGATGATCATCTTCATAAAGGAGCTTTGATGATATTGATGATTTATATGATGATGATGATGATGATGATGAAGATGAAGAAGATGATGGTGATGTAATGAGATGATGGTGATCTAATGGTGGTTGAAGTAGCAACATTTCTCTTTGGAGATATGAAGAATAGGTGTGGAAAGTGGTGGGGTTGACATTCAATTGAAACCCTAATCCAAATAAGAAATCCACTTCAAGAAAATTCATTTCTGTTGTACTGATTCCTCCAACTTTTGCATAATATGCATTATTGTAATATCTGCAAGAAAATAAGTTCACACATAAAAAGGCATTGTTAATTACTACTATTAATTACTAGGCAAATTGATATTTTTGTATTTAAATAATTGAATCAATGAAAAAAGCACACATACTATATATCATAGCAAGATTTTTGGTGTATCACTAATTGTTGATGTTTTTGGTCTAATTACCATATATATGAATCTTTTTACGTTTTCAGTATAAATTTAATTAAATTATTATATAAAAGATAAGTCAATTATCGTTATGATTAAAATTAGGGAGGACTATTATTATCAAATTTCAACATCGCTTAAAGTCAAAGCCACTTGGATTTTATAAATATCTTGCGTCTAATGTAAATATGTGTTATTTGCTTGTACAAGTAATGACATATTTCAAATGTGATAATATTATATTTTGGGCATTTTTTAACATTTGTACATAATCAACCACTAAAATATCTTGACCGACTTCTAATATTCAAACTTTGGTTCTAAGATACAAATTTACGATCTTTTATACATAAAAGACTATCACTTTAGCATGATTTATGCTAAAATTGACCATTCAGCTGAAAATAGGAGCACCACTACAATTATACTCCAAACTGGATTAAAGTTGAAGCCAGTTTTACTACATAAGAATGATACCATTGTGATTTTATTTGGCTTCCTACAAGTCAATGATAACATTAGGTACAATGATGCCAAAATTTGCCAGACTTTTATAGTAAATCTTTAAATGTATTTAATCAACCATAGGTATACATCAGTTGACCTTAAACATACAATATGTTACCATAAGATATGAAGTTGTACAAATTTTGCTGCATAAAGTGCAAGTCAATACAGTAGGACTACCCTTGGAATTCACCACTGCAATTGAGAAAAGGGAAAGCCACTGGTTTTATACTCCAATTTGGATTGAAGTTGAAGACAATTTACTATATGGAAATCTTTTTATATTTATGGAATAGGGTCCTCAAAACTTTAAGGTTATAATGTTTTAGTCTTTACCCAATATATATATATATATATATATATATAGAGGAGTGATCATATGAAAACCGCCCTCATTTGTGTAAACCGTGCAAACCACCTTCATCTGTCGATTTCATTGTTTAATCTTATGAAATTTTTTCATGAAATTGTTTAATCTTGTGAAATTATTTCATATAATACTTTTTTTGATGAAGTTGTTTCATATATGGTTGTGAAATTGTTTCATATAATACTTAATGAAACTGTTTCATGTATTTCTCTAACATTAATGAAACTGTTTCATGTATTTCTCTAAAATTAAAATAATGAAGATGATAATATCTATGATTAACACCCTCCACAATAAAAATGATTAATCAACCTCTCATAATTACAAAAAAATGAACAAAATGAAAAATTATGATTGGTTGAATGCGGTTTGCACGGTTTGTACAAATTGAGTGGTTTGCATTTGATCGCTCCCCTATATATATATATATATATATATATATTGTGTGTGTACACGTGTGTTTTAACCTTTAGCCTAACAATGACTATTTTATCACAGTTATGATATTTAAGCCCAATAATCCCTTCTCCCTAGCTCTCTAGTTTTGATAGACAGGTGCATATGTAACAGGGTTTCTAAAAAGACTGGAACAAAATGTTCATTATCTTAAGTGTAAGGTAAATGTTACTTGTATGATTGATGCATTTGGAATGTAATGATACAAACATTTGTGATTCTTTTAGCATTATTGATGTATTTAATCAAACCACCAATCTACCCTAATTGACTTTAAAGATTTGTTGAACTTAAACTCCAAGATATGAAGGAACACCCATGATTAACAATGTGGTGGGTGCTATACGCTTTTCTTGGCCTTGGGTATCATTCATGAGGTGGGGGACAAAAGGAAAACAAAAGTATAACATCTAATGAACTACTTACAACCACTTCATGCATAATTGATTGATTATTTGCACCATGAGTCTTTGCAAAATTCAATTTACTGAATGTGTTATGGACTTGATTTCTGAACCTAGAACAAACCTCACATGATCATAAGAAAACTAGAAGTTGTTATCAATGGATTCCAAAAATTTATCCGAATCAAAAGCACAAAAGAGCAAACAGGGGTTTGAAGCAAAGAATTTGTCGTTTCCCCTTCTTTTTTCTGTTAGGAGTTCATTTAATTTTAACTTCATTAACTACTTCTGCAGTAGTAAAACTCTAATGGCAACTGAAGAGATTCCAATAATGTGATCCAGACAATTGTCTGACAATAGAGTTAATTCGTTAAATGCATTCGTTCTCACGTAATTGGGGGCTCAATTTCTCGAATCATGAACCCCAATTCCGATAAAAAAAAAATGGCATCCCAAATAAGTTCGAATTCCCTAGAAGCAAAGCAATTTCACACAGGAACACCGAATTATAAGCGAAAATAACTTACAAATCATCCATGAACTTCGCAGCAACCATTACTCCAGTAATCAACAATCGATGAACATTGAAGGAATTGACTGAAAGCGCAGGCTGTTGCTGAGTAAACCGATCCAGATAAACATATGCGACAACATAACACGAAGGACTACAATTGGCGTACTTGAAAATCCTCTCTAAATAGCTTTGGATCGAGATAGTTGGCCTAGTGAGACCATGAAAAGCCGAGATCTTCTGCGGGTGGAATCGAGGGTTGAGATCATTGGATTCCGCTACTCGTTGAAGAAGAGACGATAGAAACGTGATTAGCTTGTTCATCACTGTCGGGCACTCAAGGTCCGCCATTGATGAACAGAGAGAAAGAGAGAGCTTCAGCAGAGGTAGCGAGGAAGACAGAGAAGGGTGTTTCGAGTATATAAACCAACAGTAGGGGGTGGTCGTTAGCAGGTAGGTATATGTAAAATTACCACCCTACCCTTTGATAAGTTTGGATTATGACCAGGCTGTCCCCCATGTGACTTTCGAGTTTTTAATCTTTTAATAGACCATAAAAAAAATGGATTAAATGTGAAACTTTTTATTTCCCAAAATTATTATTTCGTTATTTTTATTGCGGGTTTAATTATTTTCCGTACATATATTTGTTTTATAATGTGTTCATTTCACATATATTTATTTTACGGTATGATTTTTTTATATATTTATGAAACACAAAATACAACTAAAAAGTTTCACATTATGAACTGAGTACGCATAAAACAAACATATTTTATGATAACAGTTCTCACAGTTATCATAATATATATGATTCTCAAAAAATGATTAAAAGATAAATCACTATCACTAATGAGAAACATATCTCTAGAGTTAACTTTATATAAACAAATATGAAAATGTTACAGTATTAATTGAATAAAAAATAAAATAAAAAATCATAAGGGTGGTGCCTGATTGGTTTGAGCTTGGCTCCAAAGGTCAAAAGTACCAGGATGTCTCATATTCAAATCCAAGGAGGAATAAAAATTCCCTTTGTGGCCATGGAGGTTCAAATTAGGGGTGCTCATGGGTTGGGTTGATCGGATTGAAGACATTTAAACAACTCAACTCAATACTTGCGGTTTGAAAAATCTTAACCCAACCTAAATCATCAAAGTGCAACCATGGGCGGACCTAGTTAGGTGCCATGGGTGGCACGTGCCACCGTATCATTTCTCCGCCGAAGGGTAAAAAATTTAGGTTTCGTGAATGGTGCAACCGTATTAATTTGTTGTGTGCCACCGTATGTATTTTGAAACTACAATGAGAACAATTTTATTTGGTAAAGTTGGTTTGCAAGGCTTTTATTCCACCTCACACCCAAGTACGAATCATGTTAGTGTCATTTTTTTAATCAAACGGTGCTACCATTTGAAAAAAAATTCCGTATATTTGTTTCTTATAGTCAAACGGTTCCACCGTTTGAAAAAAAATTTATGTATATTTGTTTCTTATAATCAAACTGTGTCACCGTTTGGAAAAAAAAATCGATATTTTTTTCTTATGGTCAAATGGTGCCACCGTTTAAACAAAATTATGGGTCCGTCTCTGAGTGCAACCCAACCCAACCCGTACAGGTTGGTCGGGTTGATACTTTGGTACATTAAAATATTTTTCTAACATTGAATATGTTATTTCTCTACTCATAATTTCTTTTTCATCATCAACCATTTGATACAACTTATCAATATTTCTTATGTATATCACATTCAATTAATTTTCTCAATTTACATGTATATGTTCACGTACACGAATGAGTTATATAGAGATGTGAATAGATTGAAAATACGTGTATATGAAAAACATACATGATAATGTAATTGTCTAATGTCTATATTAATAGAAATTCAACAATCATATTAAATCCAAGAAATTAAAAGATATCAGGTTCATCGGGTTGGATTGGGTTCAAATAATAGTAACCCAATATCAACTCAATACCTAAGGTTTGATAATTTTACAACTTGATTAGACATCGGGCTGCTTCGGGTTGGGTTATTTTCGCGTTGGGTTGGGTTTTTGAGCACCCATATTTCAAATGTTGTGACTCCGGACTATCTGCAAAGCAGGTGATCGACCTAGGATTAGTCGGCTCGTATAGTAGGTTGGATATCCAGATTAATAAAAAAATTTGTAAAATACATGAAAAAGTAGAAGGTAAAAGACTAAAAAAATGTCGTTTTTCATGATAAAAGTATATAATCACAATTTTTTTTACTAACGTTTGAGTTTCGATGAAAATGGTAAGAAGTTTCTAGATTTTCTTTTTTAAATTAAAAAAGAATTAATTAATTTTGGTTTTATTAGAAATAAAGTTTAGTTAAGTAGGAAAGATAATTAAATGAAGTGTTGGTTTTAATATGGAAAATAATTATAAATGGTTTTTAAAAAGTATTTTTGAAGTAAAAATAAATTAATTTGTAGTTAAAAATTAACAAACAATAATAAATTGGGTAAAAAAAGAAATAAAAAAAAAGTAATTAATTAGATGATAATGATTGCCAAAATGTTATCATGTGGTTACATGTGGATTAACGCGGTGATTCCTGGCTGTGGGTCCCCCACTTCGGAGGAGACGTTGCATGTTATGTGATTCTTTGTAATATATCTCCGACAATTACCTTATTTTTTAAAAAAAAATCAAAAATCAAAAATTAATACTAATAATTACGTTAAATTCTTCTTTGATTAGATATATAATAAATTGTACCATGTTTATGAAGAGGGATAATTGATTTTGGTATTTGTTTAAGTGTTTTAGATTTGTCTGATTATTAACTTCAGAATCTTATAGAATTAACTGAGATGTGTATAATTACATCTGAATAATGGTTATCCAATATATTACCGATTTGCCCCCAAGTAATTACCTGTTGTAATTATCGTAGACATTTGCAATGCATGAATTTGATATTAATATGGGTTAAACAAACTAAATGAGCCAGACAGATAAATGGGAATGAGATGAGGACCTCAATCTTCATCAGTCATCCCTGTTCCTGAACCCCAATTTCCGTCCCCGTAGTCGTTCAGGTCTTCATCTTCGTCGGGGAATATGATTGCATTCTCATTTGCATCCCGAACAAGGAATGAGGATCTTTTTTCCCGTTTATGTGAGATATTTGAAATCAAACATGGTAAACACCACAAACGACACACTCGATCCAAACTGACCCATGTTTAGATCCCACATATTTCCATAATTTTGCGTTTATCGAGCATCAGATATTCATATGTTAACATCATACGTAATTATTTGATACTTTCAGTTCTCCATGTTTTTATGTGAAAAAAGTAAAATAAGTTAGAAAGTTTTATATAAAAAAAAAAGGTCAAAATATTTTCTTTTGATTAACCTGGATATCCAACCCGCTATGTGAGTCAACTAATCTTAGGATGATCACTTGCTTTGCAGATAGCCCAGAGTCACCACATTTGAACCTCTGTGGCTACAAATAGATTTTTATTCATCTTTGGATTTGAACCTGTGACCTCCTGGTACTTTTGACCTTCGGAGCCAAGCTCAAACCAATCAGACACCACCCTTGTAGTTGAAAGGTCAAAATATTATTTCTAAGTCTAAAATATACCAAATCTAATTCATTATAAATAATATATTGAGATAGTTTCATTTGCAAATCACTCTTATGATGTAAAACTTTGCAACTTTTGTAGATGGCACTGATATTACGAATCAAGGGGTCAAGATGTTAATAGATTAATTAATTTAATATAATAAAGTAACAAAAATAGGACGGAAGGGCATAATGGTACATTCCAGTTCCGAATTCAAATAAGGAAACCGAATGATTCTTTTTCCAAAACGGGAAACCAAATTATTTTAATATATTATAAATTCACCAATATATTATATTGAAACAGTAGTGAAACATAATGAAACCTTATTTCATCATCGACATAGTGAAACAGTAGGGAAACCATACTGAAACCTTATTGAAACCGTAACTAGAAAAAAGGATAATTATAAAATAAAACCATAACTAGAAACAAATAATTAAAACCATTTAGAAAATAAAATCTTAATTAGAAAAAAGAATTACAAAATAAAACCGTAATTAGGAAAAAAATGATTTGCCATAATTAGTTGGTTATAATTTTGTACATCGTCAAAAATAAAACCAACAATAATTACCATAATTTAAACCGTTCAGTACAGTTTGACCATTAAGCCCCTATAATTAAAAATAAAACAAAATTAAAAGAAAATCAATGATTGGTGGAATTCAGTGTACAAAGTTTGCATCATAAGAGTGATTTTGATCCCTTCTCATAATATGTTTAGTAATAGATATAAAATATATTTAATATACAAGGACGAGGTGGATCGAGGATTACGTTACCATCCTCGTCTCCATCTCCGGTTTTAACTTTTTCAAGGATCTTTGTCCTCATCTTCGTACCCGATTTTGGGAGGAACGTTCGTTCCCATCAGGACAGGTACACTGAAATTTTCAATAAAACGAGTCTTATTCCTCTACTTACAACGGATACCAGATATAACCATCTAACAAGATCTAACCCCGAAGACACATGTTTATAAACATGTTCTCAGAAAACTAACGTGTGGCTACGAATGTTTAAATGTGGTGATTCCGGGCTATCTGCAAAGCAAGTGGTCGTCCTGGAATTAGTCGGCTCGTATAACGGGTTGGATATCCAGGTTAATAAAAAAAATTCTAATTTATAAATAAAAAATGATTATTTATTTTTTTGTAAGAGTAAGCTTCAATAGTTTATCCGGTAAGCGTTAACCCTGTCAAGAGTCGTCGTTCTTACTTATCGGGTAAGACTTTCAACATTTGTCTCGCTCTTTCTTACCAGATAAGATTCTTGGTATTTGCCTTATTCATTCTACAAGAAAATATGAATTGATAAACACTTGTTTAGGTAAAACATTTGGTAGACGGTTCTTAAACCACAATAATCAAAATTAAAGTTTACCTTTTTATAATGAATAAAATTACGATTTTACCCTCTATAACAAACTTACACGTGTGAACACTTAGAAAACGTGAAAATGGTATTGGAGACACAACCCCATATTAACCTATTACATCAAGGCTAGACGAGGGACCCATGTCACTTTTGTGTTTGTAGCCACCCCATTGGCCAATGTGTTCTTTTGTCAATCATGTCCTTTTTTTCATTTAGTCCAAATTTTGAAAATACGTTACCCCACGAAGGTTATTGGGTGGTGTAAATAATTCGAGTTTGAACCAGATATTATTTTACCGAGCTGAGTTTGAATAGTCTAATACTCGACTCAACTCATTTATATCCGTAGTTGTAGGTGGGGCTTCTCTCATGAGTAACTCAACGTCG